TTGACCATTCATTCGAAACCAATGCCACCTCCAATATCAAATTTTCTGGTATCAAATCTGCTAGTGAATTTGCTAGATTGTTTGGTAAAGACAAGTGTAAAAAAAAAGTGGTTCTATTTATCGATGAGTATGATGTATTGTATGAAGCAGATGATGATATTAGAGCCTTGTTCCTTGGAGCCATCCGTAGTATTAAAAATACAAAAGATAATTATTCTCTCTGGTCTTCTGTGGCCGTTGGTCCCTTCAGTATCTTACATTTGAGTTCAAACAAAAGTATGTTGCCCTTCAATGTGAAGGATCCATTTCAAAATCCAAATTTTACGAAGAAACAAGTACTGTCATTATATAGAGATTTTGCACATGATTACAATTTCACCATCGATCCAGCAATCGTTGAGGACATTTACACAAGAACAAATGGATATGTGAATTTTGTCGTATAATCACGTGATAAATCAATCTAAAATTCACTTTTCACAATTCTGTTTTGTTGTCAGACATGCGGGTCTTGTATGCCTTTGCGGAAGAGCTATTTATGTAGATTTAATGAGAAAACTTGATGAAAGAAGAAGGCTTGACTTCTTAACCTGGTTAAACTTCACCATCAATTCATTGCAAAAATTGGTGCTTGATTATGCCACCTTCAGAAAGATGGTCTATACGCTTACCAAGGATAAAGCTAGGCAAGCTATGCAGCTTGTTCGATCTGCATTCATAGGATTCTTTGTTTAGTACAGATCGTTGACAACGAAGAAAGAAACTTAGCAGAATTCTTAACAGCTAAGGGGGTGTTAATTAGGGATGAAGAGACCAAAGATAGATTTAAAATGTCATCCGCCCTAGTAGATGAGCTCCTTCGAGAAAGAGTCATTCCTGAATTATTCAAGTCCACCCCAACAGTTGCAGTTCCTGAAAAATGTGATGGATTCCTTGATATCGTCAACGTTTTGAAGACAGTCGTTCATTTCTTTGACCAAGACATTATTTCCAGAGCATTCTATCGGTCATTTAAAACAGCACGTGATGTATATGTGAACGGTCAAAAAGATAAACGTGTTCCCCGAGAAAGCACCTACGATACAGAGATGAACAGAGTCTTAATCAACTGGATTTCCAAACAACGTAATTTCGAGGTCACTTGTCTGTGGCATTTTGTAGAATATTGTGCCAACGAAAAAAATAAACACACATATAGTGATATTGTAATCAAAACTCCGCGTCAAACAGTTGTATTAGAACTTTTAGCTACTGCAACTAGAACACAACTCAATGAACATTTTGTACGGGCAATTGAGTTTGGGAATAAAATATCTGCGGAAGACGTTTGGATAGTACATTTTACATGTGAGGATAATTCAACCCAAAATCCCTATTATCCATCTATTACAGAACTTTGCAGACTTAATATTGTACACTTCTTGCATGATGAAGAGTTTAAAAATGTGCGAATGAGTGCTCGATTCATGGATAGCTCAAATAGTTTTAGTTATATTAATGATGAACTGATTGTACATAATAATTAATATTTTTATAATGACTTTTTAAGTCTGCGGCTATTCTCTCAGAAACGCAAACGGATAACATCTAAAAAGGTAAGAACGATTCTTTTGTACTATAATAATAATTTTTAATACAAAAAATGTCAGTCAGACTCTAAATTTGTTTATTATATGCCGATTAATAAAGTATTCTTTCTCTTTTGACTTGAGTTCATTAATATTATAAAATAAATTTTGATTGTCATCGTCAAGTTTCTTCCTAGACGTCCTCGTCACATTCCAAAGAAATCTCCAACCGTAGCATTATATTTTTCCTCATTTCTCTTCTTTTTCTCTATTCTGTGTGCTCGAGAATTCGCTAGCGCGATATCATTTGTCTTATCACAGATGGCCTTCAGGGTAGCCTAAAATCGAATGAACATACTTAGTGAGACCATTATACGAAAAAAAGAAGAGTGTGTATATTTTACCTTCATATCAGAAATAATCGCATAAAATTCCTCTAAGCAATCATACGCATCGTTTTTTGTTCTACGAAGTTTGCCAAGCCGATAAAAGTTTGTTGCCTTGCAACCCATGGCATATACATCGTGTACCCATCCTTTGTGATTAATATTTGAGCTATAACTTCATTGATATTGTATTCCAAGGAGAACATAGATCTGATGTAATTTATCATCAGGGGCATTTGGTTTGCACGAAAAAATTCGTTCGCATTGTCACTGCCAAATCAACATGGTCTTCAAAAAATTATTTTCGATGCGTTTCGGGAAGACCGCCACTTCCAAGTCCAACAATTGTTTTCAGCATGTCAACATTAATTTTCAGGGTTCCTTTAAAATCACATTTCTGTTCGATTCGAGCTTGCAGTATAGTTGAATGTCCTTCGTTTCGTAGTTTAGCAGAAGCCCAAGCAGCATATTCCGCCTCTAAAGAAAATAAATTATGTTGTTAAACATATCCAATTTTCTTTTTTTTTTTTCATTTCGAACTTACACATCGATCTTAAGCTCCGTCTTATCAAGAAACCTTTTAACATGTTAGGGAACAAGTCAACACCGGTAAGGTTCTCAATACTGTGTGAAACATGTTTTTTGTTTGTTAGTATAAAGTAGAGAAAATGAATACGATAAAATTAATAATGAAATATACACTATGTTAAAACGATATGTTAACAGTAAAATGAGGTCATTGTCTTTACAATTGATTCTGGTGAATTTCATGTATGACTGTTCTTTACAATCCGTTGTTAATTTTGTAAATAAATCAATGAGTAAAAAAAATCCTCTTCAATCATAATATAATGAATCACATAAACTACCTTGTCAATTTTATCGAAAAGGCAACATAAAGTCTTAGGCACTGGTCTTTGAGAGCTTGACCTCTTGCTCAAAGTTCTGTACCAGTTCCGTCCAATCTTCAGGTGTATAAAGAGCTTTTGTTTCAATGTGATTACCCGCAAGGTCTAATTCCCCAGTAGACGGGGACTGCAAGTACAAATAAAAAAAAAAAAAATCCTGCATTTAATAAAATCATCATAGTTAAGC